GCGTATCTCTCCAAATGGAGAAAGTATAATTATCGATTAGATACCAACCAACTTTAAATCCCACGAGCGGTTTATTTAAAGCAAACTGGTTAAACGGGTCCAGAAAGGGTTCCAATGACCCAGACGGCGACGTTTTCGACTAATTACGTCGAAATTACTAATTACGTTTATTACTGCTTGAAAAATATACAACCTTTAGCAAAGTCATTACAAATGTCGTCAGATGTTGTCACCGTTAAACTGTAGTCATAAAGTCAATTATAAACGGAGATTTAAAAGTTTTTAAAGATTTCAAAATGATTTTAAAACAACACGGATTTAGCCTGGTAAAATGTAATGTTGGACACATGTAGGGTAATTGAAATGGTACTGTACGTATGTCTCCAAAGGCGCTTCCCCGTCGTAGCGACCGGGTCGTACCCGCGCCGGTGGGAACAGCTGACCGGCTCCGGCGGAGAGGGCATCTCTGGGGCATCCGCTGGACGGGAGTAGCGGGCAGTCGCCCCAGTTCCACCGGCGGGACCACTACTGGGTAGTGTAAAGGCTGTGGCCACCTTTTTGCACCCAGGAATTGCTCAGGCTCCAAGTGTTCGCTGCCCCTGGGCTCGGTCTCTAGTGTCAGGGTCAGCCGGCGCTTGACAGAGTCCGCTAGCGCCTGCCACGGGTTGTCCATCCATCCTGCTCTGACACCAATGTAGTGTTTTTTAGTTCACACAGGATAAAAGACAAGTGGAGACGAGATAGCGAACCGAGCAACCGCTTTTTTTCTCCTTTTAAACCAAAACCAAACAGGATTTACACACACATAAGGGGACCGAGGGAACACGTACAAAGGGTTAGGATGGTAACTCGTTAACAGAAGACTACACACTTACAAAGCTACACAGGACACTTAAACTAACATAACACTATTTACATAAGCAGGGTCAGCTGCTGGTCATCGTGCTGACCCTCAGACTCCCCGCGGCTACAACTCCAAGCCTGCTTCGCGGTACCCTGCGTGCCTAGGTGCCTTTCCTCCTCACCACCGGGCGAGGGCGCTACAATATTTTCTTACACATTCGCTTTTATTTATAGGGATCAGCATGGTTCCGTTTTTTCCTGGACTTGTCCTTTTTGGTCTTTAAAATCTTTGTCCAAGAGGAATTTGCAAATATATTGAAACATCTGGATTCCCCCTTATTCTTTTTCCCCAGTTTTCGTTCTGATAAAGTAAGCGATTTAATAGGTACTGGCACAAATACCCCTAGCACCGCCCCCTCCTTCGACGACGTGCACTCCTCTTTGAATCACATCAGATACGGTAACCGTACGTATCCTTTCCGAGACTGTGGGCTGCATGGAGAAGGGAGCATCCAGCTCGGGTTACAATGCTCACAGGTGTTTTTTGCTTTTAATCATTAACAGGTGTGCAGTATGAGTGTGAGGAGGGGCACAGCATTCTCTAGCACAGTGGTACTCAAACTTTTTGGACCAAGTACCACCCCTAATCCAACCAAAGCATCCAAGTACCACCTACAAGTCATCATCTCATAGGAACCCCAGAAATTCTCAATGACCAACATGAGCGCGCGTGCACACATACTCACGCATACATATAATAAATATTATAATAATAAACTTTATTTGATATAGCGCCTTTAAATGTGGCTTCTCAAAGTGTTTTACAGAAAAAAAACATTAACAACAACTAATAAAAAAGCACCATTTCAGTGAGAGGGGTGAGCCTGTTTAGTTGAGCAAAGCAGATGTGAATTCATTTTTCGAGCCTTGATACAATTCAAAACAGAGTTTTACAGATATTAAATCGTCAGGCATTTTCTTGACGGCAAAGGTCTCACGGTGGATGTTGTAATGCGTACATTAATTTCTGGAGCAGCCTCTCTAATTCGTGTAACTACACCGTTATGTCGGCTTGTCATTGCTCTAGCACCGTCTGTACAAACTCAGACGCATTTTATCCAGTCGAGGCCATTCTCTTCGATAAATTGATTCAGAAGCTGAAATATGTGCTCTCCTGTAGTTCCTGTTGGTAGCGGTTTACAGAACAGAAAGTCTTCATGGGACATGCCCTCAAACTCGTATCTAACGTAAACGAGCAAATTGGCCAAATCGACTACAGACTCATCTAATTGCAGTGAAAAACATCTGCTCATCTTAACGTGCTCTATCAGTGTACTTTTGATATAATCCTTCATTTCAATAATTCTATGAATGACTGTGTCTTTCAGGGGGAGGGGGGCAGCAGGTCGAGCTGTTTAGCAGCCTTTTCTCTACACATAATACGTGTCAGCTCTTTTGCCAACGGTAAATAAGGTTCTTCAAAAATAGTGTAGCTTACCTGCTTTAGCAATCCGCAAGCTTGCATTTTTCCGCGTTTCCGTTTTTATATCCGTATTTATTTAAAGTTTTTATTTCATGCGCATGGGAGCAAAACACAGAGACGCTCGGTGTATTTTTCTCAAATTAGAACAGTTCTTAAATATTTTTCTGTTATCACGCTTTCGTGTGCTCACAAGATTACCTGCGTTCGTAGCACGTATTTCTATGCATTCCTGTGTTTACAATGTTGTCATTGTTCCAAAATCACGCACATTCTCCTTTCTCCCTATTTGCTGGAGATACAGTAGCTTTTTTTTAAATACAATTGGTCACTTGCATCCGTAGCACGCATTCCTATAGAGTGGTATAGAATTACAGAGTATCTCTTGTGTCCACTGAAGTATTAGCACGCACTGTATCGTAGTACGTAGGCTGCGTATTCGACACATATTAAAATACAAAATATAAAAACCCGTCCCGATTTTTCAGCGCACACGACACAGTTTCAGGGTCATTTGGCGTACCACCTGGCGGCACTCCACGTACCACTGCCGGTACGCGTACCACAGTTTGAGAACCACTGCGAGTCTAGCACATTATGAGGCATCCATCCATCCATTTTATAACTGCTTTATCCAATACAGGGTCATGGGAGAACTGGAGCTTATCCCTGCAAGCAATGGGCGCAAGGCAAGATACTGTTTCAGATGCTTATAACAACGACATAATAACATGTTGTGTTAAACTGAAGCCATGTTGAACACAACAACAGCAGGGCCAAAGGTACTGCCCACTAACCCCACAAGAGATACACCCTGGGTGGGACACCAGTCCGTTGCAGAGCCCACACAGAAACAAATACAGACACGCATATCAGCAGAAATTTTCCCAGAATTAACCGACCTGTATGTCACTATATAGCAGAGTGTATTAGAGGAAAATGTAAGACAATTTGTCCAAAAGCTAATATGAACCAAAAGTAGATCATGCAACAGGACAATGATCCAAAACACTCAAGCAAATATTTGACATAATGGTTCAAAAGAAGAAATTATTCGAAATGATAGATCCAATTCATTTGAATTGCATCTATCTCTTTCTGTTGAGATTACATTTCTTTTTTTCAGATTACGATTCATTTTTCTGGTAGGATTCAACACATATATCTGTCTGGTGTCATGTATTTTCTTTCTTGACCCCCAGATGAGTTTCAGATACCTGGAAGATGTTCAACAATCAGGTGGATTCTCTTTTGGTAATCTTCTGGGGCTTAATTTATGCCAAAAAGAAATCTAAGAAATATATACCCTCCTTCAGACTTGATGATGCATCCAATTTGCTGAACCATTTAGCACCTGCAAACTGCATCATTACTTCTTCTCTTGTAGGTACTTTGAAACAATCTGTGTTAATAGACTTGCTGAGATTTCTGCCATCTAAACATACTCAGTTGACTCTCATTTTTCTTCTCAACTATTGCTAGAGAGCTCAACCATGCAGTCATGGTTGACTGCATGGTTGTGTCCACTGAAGTATTAGTGCACACTGTATCGTAGTACGTAGGCTGCGTATTCGACACGTATTAAAATACAAAATATAAAAACCCGTCCCAATTTTTCAGCGCACACGACACAGTTTCAGGGTCATTTGGCGTACCACCTGGCGGGTAACCCTGGGATGGGTGACCTCTAAGGAAATATTTGGTACACATACTTAGGACACAGTCCTGTAGGATGTCTTCTTTCAGACGACATGAACTGTAGCTCTTAACTATTTGGTCATTGAGGATCCCATGCACTCTGGAAATTTACCAACTGGTTTCCCTAATGCACCCTTTCAATTCAATTGGAGAAGCAATTTCTTATTTTTTCATCTGGTCATCAATGTAGTGGGGTTGCTGGCTATGTGGCTTCCTCCTACAGTATGTACAGTGCTTTGGGAATCTTATAATAATAATAATAATAATAATAATAATAATAATAATAATAAAAGAGAAAATATATAGTCTTCAAATTATCTGTTCTATGCATTGCTGCGATACTTTGTAATACAGTACTTGTTAGGCATTTCTGTATGACTGTGATACATCAGTTCATCAGTGAATTAACATAATTAAACTATTAAACATTATTAATACTACTAAATACACCTTCTGAATATTACTATATTTAAGGTGGTAACTTACTTTTATTTTTTTAGACCAGGGGTTTCATCTTGATCCTTAGAACTCCAATCCATCAGAAGTTATAGTAAGACATTAGATTAAATTAGAAATATGTAAATTCCTGGAACAATTTACTCTGATCATTTCAACTGGTGATTTTTAAAAGTAATAATGTGATTGTATAAAGCAAAACTGAAGACACTGCTGCTCTCGCTCCACGACGAGGGAAATATACAGCCCCTGTAAATTGCTTACATTTTTCTTTGGTGAACAGAAGATGGCGATATATGCACATTTTTTAACAGTCGCAGCATAGAAAAGGAAACGTTCAATTAAGCACCTAACGTTATTTAATATGTTCATGTTCGTCAAAACACATTCATTGAATAAATCAAATCAATACAAAGATGTGATTATCTCCAAATTCTCATTCTAGCTGTTATAAAGGTTATTCACTTAATCCTTTATCTCCCCCAGCTAAACCTACTTAACTGTGGGGAGTGTGAAGATTAATTACCTCTGTGCATTTCACAATGCCAGAAACCATAACAGTCTGAACAGCCTTCTAAATCCATAATGGCAATGTTAGCAACCACAGACAGCTGTTTAACACTTAACAGGGTGAAGCACAAATAAAATTGATATTTAAGTTTTCGTCATTCTTAAAAGGCGTAATGTAGTGTTAAATCTGTCTGTCTATGGATATATGCCGACAGAGACTTTGCATTAGTAAATAGACAAAAACAATGGAATAACTGAAAAGGATAAATTTTATCCTGGAACCATAAATAGTATGGGCAAACCATGAGTGGTATTAATGTTTCTAGTGCTGCACATTGCCACATCCAAGCCTCATTCAGTGAGTGCATGGAATCTACAATTCTGTTCCATGGTTTTACAGTTCCTCTGTGACACAGACTCTCTAATATGGTGTTGGCAGGAATGGCATTAACCCCGACATGAATAATGAGCTCCAAGCTTGGTGCTTAGCATGGTTAGGGCAGAGATGTGATACCCTGACTCCACTGCTGACTTTACAAAAACCTTGAGCTGAATTACCATCCTGCACAAAAGGGTCTCCACCTTTATAAACAACATTGGTGAAGTCCCTAACAGAATATCAGAACATGAGAAAAGTTTGCAATGAGAGATGGACACTCAAGGCATTTTGCTCATTTTCTTTGGTAATGTTTTATTGATGCAAATATCTCACCCATCCTTTCTTATGGGATCCCAGGAAATCTGTTTCATCAACTGGCTGGGGAGTTTGTTCCAAATGCCCACCGCCCTCAGAAGTGTTTCCTGATTGTAGTCCTAGATGCACACTTTCTTAGTTTTCACTCGTGTCCTTGGTTGTTGGTTTCACTATCGCCTCAGAAGTAGCTTTCTTTTCCAAATTTGGCAAATACCTTCCAGGATTTTAAATATTTCTATAACGCCCTTTAATCATCCCATCTGTTTAAAACTAATAAGATTATTTTTTAAGATGTCTATATATGACATTCCTCTTTTGCTTCTTTGAACTGATGTCAGCGCAGTAAGGTGGCCAACAGAGTACGCAGCACCCATGAATTGTATTATTTATATCATTCCTTAAATTGATTTTGATTTCCAACTTGAATTTCCAGGATAACATTTTTTAATAATGGCTACAACATCAGAACATGAGCTAGGTATTCAGGTTCTCGTGCTTAGGTTGTTCGGTACGAATATTTTTTTTTTGTTGCTTCACCTTATTTTCATAAAGAAAAAGACTTCACTTTGTTCCAAACCATTTTATTTTTTATTATTTTATGATCTTACTGTGTCCAACAGAAGGTCTGTGTCTGAACTATTTCACACATTGCACATCACACCATTACAGCTGAAAACAGACAGATTCCCACTGCGTGCGGATGGGTCAATGAATATCTATTAGTTGAAAGAATGGTCTCCATTACATCTCGTGCCCTTCTATGTCCCTTATATGTTATGCACACCTGATCATATTATGGCGTGCTTGCAAGAAAATGTCAGGATAAACACTCTTCTTCCTAGTACAAAGCACCCTCTCTTTAAGGTCATTGGTTGGCTTGAATCTTCTTTGCTGACTTTAACGTTTCTTAGAATTTCTTTCTTCTCTTCCTATGACCAGAACAGCCCTTTTGATTTGGGGACTTTCCTGCTTACTTATGTTAATTTAATTCAGCTGTTTCTGTGTAATCTGGGGGGCGCAAAAACGCACATTTAAAACGAGCGTGTAAATGTGTGTCAAACTCGGAGAAGTCAGACGTTCCTTTTTTGCAGTTTCAACCGTTTACGTTAGGTAGCTTGCAATTAATAAAACTCACCACTGGGGACGCTGTTTGCTCATTGACCAACTGTTGGTATTAGCTGCTCCGTGTCAGTCAGATCCGTGATATTAACACAATCTAAAGAGCAAAGGGGAGTTTCCAAAGTCATCAAACCCCTCCAACTTTCTCATTCTCGGCCAGAGACCACTGAAAATGGATCTTATGAGGGCTGCGGCTCCTTTCCTATGGTTTTCCTTCTTCTGCTTTGGGAATTTTCTTGAAGCTGCAGTGCTTGGAACATTGAAGTATCCTTCCAGCGCTGGTGATAACGGGCTAGGTTCACATCTGGATGAGCGAAATCAAGGAGAATCAAGTGTGATCTCCAGAAACGAGCCTCTGAGGAATGATACTGTTGTCCCCCATGAGTATATGATATCGCTTTACAAGACCCTGTCTGAGATCGAGAGAAGGGGCTTGAACAGCAGCTTCTCTCTTACAAGAAAGCATGCCAATACGGTGACCAGCTTTGTAGACCAAGGAAAAGGTGGGTAAAAATGATAACGTATAAACTGGCAGAAACATAAATACGACCTTTACTTAGGAGGTGAGCAGATCTAGTGTATTGTATCAGTGCCTTATGGCTCGCATGCTCTGCTCCGCAAAGACTTGATTCTGCTGTATTGTGGAGTAGCCTATTCTTACTGTTAATGACATAGTACTTTATTGTTGAACGTATGTCAGAGGATCGTTCACACCAACTTTTTCCCTGTGAGTATATGTCATCTGATTTTTTTCTAATGCTTATAGGCTGATTGTCACTGCCACAGAAGTGCGTCTATGATACAATATTTCCTAACTGTACTCGACGGGTTTATTTGTTGTACTTTTAAAGGTTTGTATTATAATGAGCATAGGTGCTATTAGAGGTAAGCGGTTTTTTTCATTTGACAAGTGAATAAATGCAAAAAAGCTCAAAACATAACTTCTTATTGCTTTGATTTGCCTTTTCAGATACAGGTTTTGAACAGTCGAGGTGAAATAATAAAGTCCTGTGTCGAGCGTGATTTTTGACCCGACTACAAATTTCCAAAATAATATACCAAACCTCTGACCCTTGTGAGATCTTATTCACCTCTTGTGTTTCGTGCCGCTGGCGCTTCTACAATGTAGGAGTAGTTTTCAAGTCAGTGACCTTTTATCTATTAAGTCCTACAAAGCAAAAATATGCTGTAATACGTTAATTACATTTCGTGTAGCTAACACGTTTGCGTTTAGTCTCAGCCATTAAATTCAATTTGTGGTTCATTTTCATGCTATTTACAAATACAGTAAAGTATTGCATTTCCGTTATCTTAAGCAAATATTTAAATCGACAGTAGCATCGATTTATTGAATTACGCCGGCTCCTTTTCCGAATGAAACTGGTGCGTAATGTTTTCAAAACAAACAGGTCTGCCTATATAACTTGCTAATTAATCTACTATAATTAACATAATTTGGTAGTAAGTGTAATGCGCGCGCTTGAATCTTTTGACATTCATGTATGCACGTTTTAGAATGCTTTAAATACTTTGGACGAAATATGAAGTCAAATGTCTCGGATTTCCAACATCTGTGATAAATAAAACGTCTTCATTGGGCACCTAAAGTTTAACACTTACAGACGACGTTCCTCAAAACCAGGTGTTGCTGATAAAGACAGAGAAACGTGTAATTTAAAACTGGTGTTTAATAAAGCTCGTCGCATAAAATATTTTAATAAAAACAAGCTACTCTGTCAGTAGTCTCCAACCACAAATAAAAAACACTTTCATTCCTTACCGGTTATGACAGTAAAATATTTGTTAGCATTAGCAGAGAACCGTATTTTAAAAAGTCACTTAAAGAGTTTTCCAACACAAAACATTCGGCATTGAGCTTTATCACATTTTGAATATCTCTTCACAGTAGTGAATGGCAGAAACCTTAATATATTTTTTCAGGCTACTTAATTTACCCATACAAATATAGACATAAAACTCCCCCCCCCC